CCAAATCAGCTGTTCCCTCTTCCATAGTAATGAATTTCTCCTTAATATCAGTCTGTACCTTTTTTAAATTTTCCTCAGTTGATCGAGTCATGTTAAACAAAGATCTGTTCTCCTCCTGGAGAACTTCAAACTGATTCTTGAGAAGATTGTTGTCATTCTCAATTGTTTTTAAGCGTGCAACCTCTGCTCGTAAAGACTTTATCATATTTCTATTATCAAACCATATAGTGCCAAGGAAAACTACGAATCCCAGAAAGATCCATAGAGGTGGGGTGATAGACACCTCTTGTAAAATCTCCCACATGGTACAATTAAAAAACCTGTTAAATTCTTGAATGGTAACGTGTTCAGACATTTTAATTATAAAAGAAAATTTTTTCTCTTACCTGCAATGACTGGTTCCTGCCGGTGGTGGTCTCTGTGGTTTTGGAGCCTGTCTTGGAACTAGCTCTTGTAGACCAGGTTGGCCTCGAACTCACAGAGATCCGCTTGTCTCTGCCTCCCGAGTGCTGGGATTAAAGGCGTGTGCCACCACAGCCTGGCTGGCCTTGAACTCACAGAGATCCCCCTGCCTCTCTGGATATTATGGGCCTGAAGGCAGAGTGTATCTCGGACTCAGCCCTGGGGCCCGAGTCACAAACTAAGAAAATGACACCCGGGAGCCTGCTGTGTTAGCTAGCAGGCTACGCACTTGAGTCGGGGGCAAAATAGACCGACGTTGGACGCCAAAATGTAATGGCGTAAGCGAATGCAGACAGACTGTCAAAATATAGACAGCTTTAATGGAGGAATAGACTTACAGAACCACCGTTCCTGCGGAGACCAGGAAAGCAGAAGGGAGCGCTGGGAGCACTCTCGCCAAATTTATAGGAAAACTTTAGCCTGAGGCGAACACGCCCCCTAAGGGATGGGACTTATCCCTACACACCTGTGTCCCTAATTTTAACCTGTAGGATCCTGGGAGGAGGACAGGTGAGAATCTAAAAGCCATATGTTTTAATCAACATTCTCCAAAGAAGCAGAATTAATAAACTTAAGACCCATGTTGGAAATCAAATTGGCTCGTGAATGTAGTCCAACTCAATTGCAAAGGAGCATTAAGAGCAACATCCCATCTTCATAACACTCTTACTTTCACAGGAGAACCAGTCCTTTCTGGTCTTCAGGCCTTCAGCTGAGTGACTGAATGCTGTCCACAGGGAGACACCTGTTTTACTAGATCTCCTAACTCAAATGGTAATCTCATCCTGAACCACTCTTATGCACAGACCCAGAGAAATGTCTGAGCAACTCCCTAGAGACCCTTTAGCTCAGGGAAATTGGCAGACACAGTAGCATATTCATCACCTAGCCTGAAACTCAGAGCTATGCTTTACGAAAACATACTCATGCTTTTGCTTAGTGCTGAATTTGTTTTTTTTTTTTTTTTTTTGTTTTTATTTATTTATTTATTTATTAAAGATTTCTGTCTCTTCCCCACCACCACCTCCCCTTTCCCTCCCCCTCCCCCAATCAAGTCCCCCTCCCTCGTCAGCCCAAAGAGCAATCAGGGTTCCCTGCCCTGTGGGAAGTCCAAGGACCACTTACCTCCATCCAGGTCTAGTAAGTTGAGCATCCAAACTGCCTAGGCTCCCACAAAACCAATAGGTACAGTAGGATCAAAACAGAGACCCCCATTAGTGCTGAATTTATGAATTTAAACCACAATGTCCGCCGCTCTCATTGCTATAGTAGTATTTTATTGGATAACTGATACCTGTGGGAAGTTTCTACCTTCCAATGTCTCTTTGCTTATGTGAATGTTTAGAGTATTGCCAATATGTTTAACAGTGTTGCAGATGGTTCTTTTGAAATGTCCCCTGGCACATGTGTACAAGTCTTTTCTTTTTTAAAAAATCAAAAATCAAGCAATGGTCTACTGAACACACAGGAATATCCCTCACCATCTCCCCTCTGTCCTTGACAACTGCCATTTCTGCCCCATCATTCTCATTACTCTATGACCAAGTCAGTTTCTTCCTTTTCTCAGATGTCTCTCATGAAAACTTTTAAAGAAATTCTTTGGACAACATCTACATAATTAATTGGACATGCAGAAGTCAAGCCTTCTTCTTGCTGAATATTGTTCATGGTACTAGAAAATTCTTTGCATACTTCCAGAGGAGAAAATGAAACACCAACTCAGCTACAAACCCTTTGGCTTGTAAGACACACTGATAAACTTGTGCCACAAGAGCTGTGGGAGCAATTAACCACTATTTGGTTGAATCTAAATCCTCCTGTAAGAGAGGCAACCCATTCCAGATACTGCTTGGGTGGCCAAGAACCTAAGACTAGAGAGGCCATGGGCCTAGGGGAAAACAAATACTACTGTTCTGCTAAAGGAATGTAGCAGTAAAATGACTCTTAGTGACTTGCTATACTCATAGATCTGTGTCTAACTCAGCCATCATCAGAGAAGCTTCCTCCTGCACTAGATGGGAACTCGTAGCTGGGCAATGTATAGAGAATGACACCCCATAGGATGCTCAGTCCTAAATGGGATGTTCTCATCAAATCCCTCCCCTTAGGGGTCAGGGAGGTAGAATGATTGTAAGAGCCTGTGGGATGACACCAAGGGAAAAAGGTGTTTGGATAAAGCAGAACCAATGCGCACATGAACTCTGACACTGTCAGCTTGAGCAGGATCTGCCGAGCTCTTAGTTGGCTGAGGTTCCAGTGCTGAGAGGCCCCATAGCTCGGACCCAGAAGCTATTGCCAAATGACAAAGGGGCCTAAAGGAAAAAAAATAATTTTCTCTAACAGAATCTCACTAGATACACAAACTACATGTCAGGGTAGTCCCCACACCCAGCAGTAGACGGCCAACAGAAAAGGAACTCAATGATATTTTCAGGGGGTTATTTTTGTCTTATATAATACTTTGAGCATTTTTAACCTTATATGTCTTTTGTTTACACATTATGGTTTTAATTTTATATTTTCATGAGATTTATGTGTGTGTGCATGTATGTGTCACTGTGTCTTTATGCTTCTTTTACTTTTTTCTTTGGCTCTTTTTTTCTCCTTCTTTGCTTGTTTTTGTCTCATCCTGATTTGTTTGTTCTTTTTGTTTTTTCTTAGATGTTTATTTGTTTTCTAATGAGAAAGGGAGAGAGAAAAATGCTGTAGCTTTGTGGGTAGGGAAGTAGGGAGATGCTGGAAAGAGCTGGGGGAAGGGAAACCATGATTAAATATACTATATGGTAAAAATCTGTTTTCAATAAAAGAAGCAACTGAAGTGAAAATTTCCTATAGGAAATTCCTTAAAGGAAAATGCACATTTTAAAAGTACTGTGTAATGAACATCCCCAAAGTTAACACATTTAAATAACTATATAAGAGGAATCATGCATGGGAGTGGAGCATGTGACTCCAACTTCCTGCCATTCTTCTCTCTGAAGTAACCATGACAACTGAATTGCATCAGAATGAAAACATATACTTTCTTTATTTCCCTTTGATCTTGTCAACAATTTTGGATTGTCAGTTTTCATTGTGCTTGTGGATTACAGTTCTGCTTAACTACTTTGCTTGGCTGCTAACGTGGCTGAGCATCTTCTCCTGTCTGTTGGTCGTGAGTACTTTTTGCAGACAGAGGTGCTTTGTCATTGAGTCGTAGCTTAATTTTGACTAATTAATTAATTTCTCTAAGAATGCACATTTACCCAGCTCTGTCTTGTTGACCCCTTCCTCTGTGGACTTAATGTCTCCCCATCTCAAGTCCACTGACCATGGTGCTGGATAAGTCACCCTAAGGTTTTCCCAGAGTATTTCATGAATCAGGTTCTTCCCTGTGGGACCAAAGGGAGCAAACCAACGCTGGCCTACCTGAGTTGCAGACTGGCTGTGAGTGTAAGGAAGCAGGTAATGGGCTTGTGACTTAGATTTGTACCTGGCCCGTTACCTTATTTATATCACTCTCATGTCCTATTTGAAAGCAAACACACATCAGTCTGTATCACAGAAAATCACCACTGTATAGGAATTCAGGAGATACCACTGCAAATCTTCACCAGCTGTGTGATGGTGGCCAGGTCATCTCTCCTTTTTGGATCAGTCTCTTCTAGGACAAAGTAAGAACACAAAGGCCACTTCCCTGCCTAGCCCACAGTCATTTATGAAATCAAATGAAAAAACACATAGTTGTGTTTTATAAGTTTGTTATTGAAGCCATCTCTTTGCTTGCCTAGTCCTCTCTATAGTACCAAGGATTCTGCTACTTTCACATTTCCACCCTTACCCTGATCACTCTTGGCAGGAGCTGAGGTGACCCCACTTGGGGAGATGAGTTCGTAGAGGAGGCCCCCAGTTATATTATGAGAGAATGTGGCTTACTGACAAATAGATACATGCTTCCAAGTGAGTGGTACCATGAGAAAACCTCAATCAAAGCATGGGTACCATGTGCTTGCATTTAGTGAAGTAAAGTATGCTTTGCCAAATGAATGCCTAGGTGAGAATTCTAAATCAGAGAACAATCACAACTGAAAGAAATGCATAGCTCTGATTTCAGAAATACAAACATGACCTGAATTAATGGACCAGCTAAACATCCCAGTTACTACTTAGTGGAAGCTGGAGCAAAGATAAGGGTCTACTGTACAGTCAGGAAAGCCCTTTCAGGGGGACATGAGCAGGGTCCTGGGGGATGCCCTTGGGATGAGGCCACGCAGGGCAGGTCTGTGGGATGGAAAAGGCTGTGCTGGTTGCTAGATCATATCTGCAGAGGAGAGAGCAGCACGTGGATCTTCCCTGTTGTCAGGCAGAACTCTTCAGTGAGGTGGGCTCAGGGAGGGCTCCGTGCCTCCGCTCTGGTGAGCAATAGCCGGAAGCCGTGAGAGGCAGAAGAGGTGCTGAGCAATCCAGCAGCAGCTGCTGCCCTGGCTTTCAGGAGGCCAACTGGACTCTCTGACCGAGGCGTAGGTACAGGGACAGTGAAACTCGACCCTGCCTGAGCCATGCCAGCCAACCTCACAGAGGGCAGCTCACCTGCCAACCAGACCATGCCAATGCTAGATGCCTCCCCAGTAGCTTGCACTGAAATTGCTACTTTCACTGAAGTGCTGGCGGCAGAGGAGTGGGGCTCCTTCTACTCCTCCTTCAAGGTAAGAGTCTTGACTTTAAAGGCTGAACAAGAACAGGTGGGACTTGAGAGGACTGTGGGTATCAGAGCTGCTACTAGGAATAGTCTCCTTTTCTTTCTTTTCCCTTCTTTTTCTTTTCCTTCTTTCTTTGGATTAAGGAAGGGGCAACCCCCACCCTGATGAGATTAAATACAGCTTCCTAGTTTTCAAAGCTCAGCACTGTGGCTTTTGAAGAAGGCAGATGTTTTTGCTGTTTCTATGAAATCCTGTAACTCGTCAGTAACGAATCTCGGTGAAATATTTCCCTCTCTGTTTCCCTGGCTGAGAGCACTGTAGTTAACCCCAGAGTAGTGTGTAAAGGTCTGCTTCTAGCAAAAGTAGTACATTTTCTAAAACTAGACGTGCTTCCTCGGTGTAAACTCATTTAGCCATTAGCGTTGGTTGTTTTTTGTTTGTTTGTTTGGTTGGTTTTCATCAGAGGTTTGGGAAATTACATCCCTCAGGGCAGTGGCCGACAACAAGAGGGATAGAGTGGAAAGCAGAAAGGATCGCTCTGTCTTAGCTGTGTCTTCTTAGTGTACATTAGTGAGAAACAAACTGTTTGATGAGTTAATGGTGGTGATAATTGCAACAGGTTGCATCCTAGAATAAATCAAAAGAATCTGAGTTTGACGAGCTTCACTGCCGTAATATCAAAAGATGATAGCTCTTTCACTATGCTGATATTGCCCCTGTTTTATAAAATGATCTAGTAGACAGAAACAAGACAGGTGTCTGGAAAATGTGAGTTTGCTTCTTCGCACATGCAGACACTGGGTAGTGGGGCCATTTCACACCCCTCCTGCCTAACGTGACTCACAACAAATATACTTAGTCATCAGCCTAAGTCACTGTCCTCAGCCTGTCCTTCATGTCAAATAAAGTCTAGCCGTTGCTGTGTTGCTGCTGTTATTGACAATTCTCTGGTGTTCTTGAGATGGCTGGGGTTTTGCAGTTGGATATATGATTACCATGGCATCCACCCTCTCTGTTCTACAGATTCGCTCCCGGTTCCCAACTTTTAGAATAATTAGAATAAAAATTTCGTCTGGGAGCTGTCCAGAGAGTCCGTGAGCTAGGTTCTTCATCGAGGGCAGAGAACCTGTAGTGAGTTACTGTTGGTTGGCTTCAGGGAACTCAGTCCCTTAGACTCGACTCAACACACACACACACACACACACACACACACACACACACACCAGATGCTTTGAAGCTCCGGTTCATGACCACTGACTAGAGTTTGAGCACTGCCTTTTCTGAAACCAGCCTGTTCGCAGAGTGGATATCAGCAGGCTCTGTGTGCCCAGGAAGCTTGGGCTCAGCAGGGCCACTGGCAACTTGCCTGTGATGTTTATGAAACATGACAACAAGCGTACTGAAGAGACCGGCCCTCCCCAAATGAGTAATAATCAACAACAAGGCCATTGTTCTGAGGCTCAGGAAATATGCATTCTCTGTTGAAGGCTCATTTGCCATCTTGAATCCCACCTGAGGGGATGTTTTGAATATACGAACAAATCCCTATGCCCCTCCATTAGTATCAGCATCCTGTATCCCAGTGATGTCTTTGTCACTAAACACCGGAGAATTGCAGCCTCTGTTTCATTCCTGTAGTTAAGCTCGTGGCCAGTGCACAAAGAGAAACAGAGAAGAATTATGTCCTTTGAAACCAGGAGCCTTCAGTATTCCGATTCATTGTGAGGAATACACATATTGACTAAAGCAGAAATTTTCAGATTTACACAAATCAGGGGAGAAGCCTTGGCAATCCAAACCTCAGTCTTAGTGGAACTTTGTTCTGTGGTCGCCTTTGAGCATACGTGGTTCTGCTACACTGTTCCTACATAAGTCTGTCTGCCATCCAATCCCTTGCTAGCCTTGGTTCCTTTTATGCCACATAATTCTAAGGCAAAATGACAAAACACATGCCCTATTTACTGCTTCCTAAGTGTGTCCCCTTAATTCATGTTACCTTTGCAAAAGGCAGTAAGAGAAACATAAAATAGAAAAGCCGACAGCAGTCTAAGTGGTGGAAATACTGCCAAGAGCCGTCTCTGTACATGCCACTTGTCACCTTCGTGCCAAGAACCTTGTTCTGTGACTTCCATGAAGCAGCTCTTGTCATTCCCAGACTCACAGCATAAGCACTTGGCTTCTGTCTTCACCTGGGTTTATCTAAATTCTGCCTGTTCTTTACCGGTCAGCAGGGGTTGCTTCTTCTAGAAAGTCCCCACCTGCTGAGCTTCCTTGGGCTCTAAGACTGCCCATCATATTGCTTCAGGCAACTGTCTCAGACTCTGGAGTGAGTGTTTGTTGGGTCAGACTTGTGCTGGAGTGTTTGTTGGGTCAGACTTCTGGAGTGTTTGTTTGGTCAGACTTCTGTTGGAGTGTCTGTTGGGTCAGACTTCTGCTGGAGTGTTTGTTTGTTGGGTCAGACTTTTGTTGGAGTGTCTGTTGGGTCAGACTTCTGTTGGAGTGATTGTTGGGTCAGACTTCTGTTGGAGTGTCTGTTGGATCAGACTTCTGTTGGAGTATTTGTTGGGTCAGACTTCTGTTGGAGTGTTCGTTGGGTCAGACTTGTTGGAGTGTTTGTTGGGTCAGACTTCTATTGGAGTATTTGCTGGGTCAGATTTCTGCTGGAATATTTGTTGGGTGAGTGTATTTCAGACTCTGAACTTATATTGGTTTCACATTCTCTCCCAAACTTCGCACTTTGCTAGGCACATTTGCCAAACAATTAGAACATGAACGCAATATGGCACTCTATTTTAATCTTCAGCATTCATTGGAATGGGCAACACAATGTTGGGTTTATCCTCAGAAGAATTGGGGCGACCTGATGAGACACTATTCATCCCACAGTTTGTCCTCACACTACGTGGTCTCTACCAACTATAGTCACCAAGGGAAGGAACACATTCACCCAACGCCTACTCCATTTTAAAGCCAATGTGTCTAAAGTCGTCATTGATTCCCATGACTACAGCCCTGAGATTTTGTCAGTTTGTCCGTACCAGTGTCAGGATATGTTCTGGGAAATTCCCCCATCTTATCATAGCCTTGGGACAGCATAGTATTCCTATTCTCTGACCCAAAGCTATGTTGGCAGAAGACACACTATCCCAGTGTCTGACTTTCTGGCCTTCTGTTCACAAGTTTATAACCATTCCTTTCCTCCCATTTCTAGCCCTCCTGACCCTTGTTTAAACGTCAATGCCCTGGTGAATTGTCCTAAACATGTCAAATTCCCACAAAACTCAGAATGGCAGTCAAGCATGAGGTTGCCTCCCACCTCCACACATCTTGGTCCTCCCCAGGAGCTATGTGTGTGGACACAGCTGTAGCCTGAAGGTTTTCAACCACAGCTTTGATGTGCTTCAGTTTCCGGTTTCATCTACCCCAGATGTCACATCCAATTCACCTCCCTGCATTTGAGAAGTCTTAGGATTGAGAAATTATCTCAGCTTTGAGAACGTATCAGTTTTCAAATGCCTAACTCATTAGAATATACATAGTTCTGTCCAAAAACAAAACAAAGGCAAACACTGTATACAAACGCCTTTCGTCTTACAGAGTTTGTTGGCATTATTTCTCGAACTTGGTGAGTGATGAGAAATCTAATTTAAAGAAAGTGGGAAGGAGCTATGTCTGAATCAGGAAATTAGCTAAATTGTAAAATAACGCAAAAGAAACTCAGTCTTATTACTCATAGGTGAGGGGGGAAATGTGACCTAACAATGCTAAGTATTACCTAATACGATCTTCCACCATCCTCCCTCAGTGCATAGCTGCAAATGCTATGCAATTAGTCCAACTGCTGTGTGCATGTAAACCGTGGCCTGGGCGTGAGAGGTGATGAGATACAGTTGCGTACTGTGTGTGCCCTCCTTTCCTGCACTACTTAATGCCCAGCTTTCTAAACATTATCTTTCATCCTGTTCTAACAAAAGGAAACTTTAACCCAACCTGTCCCCGTGATCTACACCGAACGCCAGGCAACAGGGATTTCACTTAAACTTCTGCATCTGCTAGCTCTGTATAGTCAGACAGCTCATTTCTAAGACCCCATCTGCTTGCCCTGTGGCAACATCACCAGACCTTCTGTAACTCTCACTTCAATATATCCTTTTGTCTCCTTCTCTGACAGCCCCTTTTCACCTATTGTATACAAATCTCGGCGCCTTCATTGCCTGCCCTGGGGCCCATTGTGCATTTTTTTTAATTCTCTTCTAATTGGTTCCTCTCAGTTTGTTCACTGGGCTTCTCCAGTTGCATACTATGGCTGTCCCTAAGGGGAAGTCTTACTCAGGCAAATGTCTGTTAAAGTTCTCTCCTTTGCTGATTGCTTCTGCTATTCCGACCTAATACACCAGTGGTGCCACCCCCACTTTTGGTGGGCTCCATCATGCATGCATTCAGTCCAACTTCAACTCCTGTAAGACATAGGCATTGCTAATAACTTCATAAGGATGGCATGCAATTGACTGGCTATCTATTAGTACATAAAGAGATTGTCTTCTGTTAAATGTCTCTGCATTATTAACAAGTTGGATATCAAGAAGTACCATCATATTCAGAATAAACTTAGTCTCCAAGTAAACTTGGAGAGGTTTTCATTCTAGGAAGGATCTTCTCAGGAACTGGCTTAAGTAAATCTTCTAACGCCAAGGATAGCCTTCTTTGTGCGTGGTAAACATGGCAGTGGTTGGGGCATCTGCCCAGTTAGCTACAGGGCAAGAGGACATAAGTTAGAAGGAAGTTTTGTTGACCCTCAGAGCACTCATCTTTCTGGCCCCTGCTCTGGAGAAGGGGCAGTAAACCTTTGTGACTGAGCCTTCCCATTCCAGGGTGCTGAACCTCCCCCTTTCTCTATCTCTTTGCTTGCTAAATCTCCACAACCTTATAAGGAAACAGTATCCCCATCTCTGTTCCTGTTTCTCCCAGCATTTACATCTTAAATGTATATCTGCATGACATCCAGG